GCTCACCCTGTTTCTTGTCATTGTCGACGACAGCCTGGCTATGTTGTCGTTGAAACTCGGTGCAACCATCGTGGATGGAGCGTTGTCGGGCATGCTGAACTTCTGCTGCCACGCCTCTAAGTCTGTACCCCGGCGCTGCTGGTCATGCTTGAGTACTTTTCTACTTCAGAAAAGACAACATCGTCGGCTACCCATGAGTGCATGGTGTCCTTGTTCGTCGGGTCGAACGGCTTCCACACCGAGTCGCTAGCGCCGGAGTCGCCGCCGACGCTCTCTCCTTCCGCCCCGTCGTGAGACGGGGAGCGCTGCTTGCCACTGCGGGCGCTAGCGCTATCTTCCTTCCGGCGCTTCTCAGGAACTGCCGTCTCTGGACGAGCGCTGCGTCGTTTCCTCGGTGAAGATTGCTCAAATTGAGCTAACATCAGCTCCTGGAACGCCTCTAGCCTCTGAGACATGGACGCAAAACTCTGCTCCAAGGCAGAGATGCGGACGTTTGTTGGCGAAAACTCCGTTTCGCTATCATGCGTCTTCCTGCTTCCGTCGCCGCCACCACTGCTTATGTCTCCGTCAGACGGCAAGTTGCCGTCTTGCTGAACCGTGGGCGGCTGCTTCTGCTCGCCGTCGCCCTCCTGCTGGCTTCCGTCAGCGCTGAGGACCGGCATTAGCCGGAGAAGACGACTTTCTGACGACTGTCATGGCGGTCGTTTTCACGCACATGGTGCGCCGACCCGCCCGGGCTTGTCCCGTCCTTCCTCGCGCTCCTTGCCGCTGGAACGCCGCCGGGAACCGCCACGTTCGCGCTTGGAACTCTCCTCGGTCGCCCTAGGACCCGAAGGCGCCCTCGAACGATGTCTATCGCGTTGCTTTTCACGCCTAGACCCCATGATACCAACGCAAAACACGAAGGTGTTTACAGGTTGCTCAAAAAAATTAGACTGGTGCGCATGCGCAGGGAGGGTGACCCTTCAACTTTGGGCGATACCAACTAGAGTCTACACGGGGGTGGACAGGCTCAATCACCTGAAGTATTCTGTCTGCCTGACATAAGAGGGAATGCGGTAGACAACATGGGGAGTTAACCTCTGTAGTTCTAAAACTTGTGCAGCTTTGACACAAAGCTACATAATGTGTAAGGACATATCTATTATAATAGAGACTGTGCATCTACGATGACCAGACCCACAGACTCCAACACCTGTCAGAAACATGGGAAGTAAACCTCTGCAGTTCTAAAACTGCACCTGACACAAACCACACAAACATACTTGTAGATAGGAAATTTTATTTTTGTTTTTCTAGTAGGGGTTGTGTGGTGTAATGGCAGAGCATTTGGCTCAGAACCGAGAGGTCCCGGGTTTAGAATCATGCCATGTCACCAACCTTGTGCCCTTGGAAAAGGCAATTTAGACAACTTTCCTCACTTCCCTCAGGTGAAAATGAGTATGCCAGAATGATCATTATCATGATAGTGGGCATTAAGGGAAACTAAACCAAGTATTTTACATGCGTTTGTATGGATATGGGCCATGATTCTGAGGTAAACAAACAAACAAACAAACCTGTGCCGTCTCCTTGACGCTGGACCCACTGGTGACGACGTCCTCCACGATCAGACACCGGCTCCCGATCTCAAACTTCCCCTCGATCATCTTCTTGGTGCCGTAGTCTTTCGCTTCCTTCCGACGGATCAACATCGGGACATCATGGTGGGCAGACATCAGCTGAGGAAAAAATATCACGTATTTTATTTGAATGAGTGAATGTCTTTATTTACGGTATTTCACCCATAGAAAACAATGCTACAAACATAGAAACACAAACTATACATACAGCATATTATATACATTTAAAAAAAAAGGAATTTCTGTACTGACAATCTGACCTCAGAAGACATTGTATTATGGTGTTGTCGGTTTTGTTTAGCCTATCAACAAAGGAGTAGCATAATTTTCTGCGTGAGATTTGAGTGAGAAATTTAAACAAAGCAACAACATACATGTATGTTGAACACATGGCTGGTGCACCATTAAAAAGGATGTTTACATAAATAATCCTGAATCACATCCATATTGAGTCATCTGGACCCTCTGTTTCACTGCACAATGTGAGAATATTGGACATAGAACAAGACTTTTTCCTGAGAGGGGTGAAGGAGGCCATGTACATCCGGGTCCATCACCCTTCACTTAACCGCGACGGGGCCGACGTCGTCTACCAGATACCTTTAACCCAGTGTTGACGTCACACTTCAAAGAAGCCACATGACAAACCTCACTGGGTCAGTCTACTGAGGAAGACCAGAGTGACTGGTCGAAAGCTCTAGGTGAGAGAACTTTTTTGTGTTGGATCAAAAGTTTTAACTTTAATCAATCCTGAGTCAGTGTGTGTGTGTGTGTGTGTGTGTGTGTGTGTGTGTGGGGAGGGGGGGGGTGG